TATCTTTCAACAATGAAGCTTGGCGGTGTTTATCTCAGTCCCAGCTGTTTCACAGTATCTTCTCTACAACGGCCACCATCGCCACAATGGATTGCCAATTACTGGGTATATTTAGGTGGGTGAGAAATTCGTTTTTTTCAAAATTTTTGAAAAAATTAGAGCCAGTTCTGCATTCATTTCCTGTGAAAATCAGGGATTCTCGGGAAGGGATCGAATGTTAGGAAGTGCCAACAAAATTCACCAGCTGGCGGGGCCTTCAGTGATTTCCTCTTTCGAGGGTTGCTTAGAAGCAAGCTGATGGTGGATTTATTCTGTTGACAGGGTGGGAGGGAAGGGGGGAGAAGCTCAGGTAGCAACTGCTTTACTACAGAAAACTGTGTTCGATACCGCCTATTGTCCTCTCCAGCAGCCATTCTCCTTCCCCCTCTTCGCTCCCCCCGCCGATCACCGCTGTACATTACGGTCGGCTAGCGGGAGGGCAGTGAATAGCGAGCTGACTGGGAGGGGGGTGTAGCGACGAAGGCCTCCCTCCCCCAGTAGACCGCCTTGGATCTGCCTGTGATTTGACCCCCTGGTGTCAATTGATCATCAAAACGAATGAACGAAGAATCGTAGAGGGATTGATTTTCCCACTGGCGGAACCCAACTTTCAATATTCATCTGCATATTTCTGAGCAGTGCTTGTCATAGTTTTAAAACTTAAAATAAAAAATCGTCTTTGTTAGATCATTAATTATTTATTAAGGTGATCCGTTTGGTTTAATTCGAAATACGGGTATTCGGCCAGGTGTTCGGGAACATGTTCGTGCCCTTTCCGCAATAATACCTCATTGGCGTGATAAAGTGGCAGCAGCAACAGCAAGTGCTACCAGTGAATATGTCATCCGACGATATATTGCAACATCTCGTGGTGTTATGATCACTTACCCAGCTACTGTTATCCGAGACAACTATGAGCCCGATTTACAGCCATGGTTTGTCTGTTTGCTCTTTTTTTTTTCTTTTCTTTTTTTTTTTTTGTAAGATTTTGTTCTTAGAACTTTGCTGTATAATTTTGCTATTTCTTTGCAGTTTTTGGATAAATTTTTCTAGGCTGGATGGGGTGTCACTAGGCATTGTGTGAGCCTTTTTGTTTTCTGTAAAAATTGTATATTTAAGTTAGCGAGTGGAAAAGAGGGAGGGAAGGGTGCCATAATTGCGTAGAAATATCGTGCTTGTCTGGACTGGATTGTATAATTGTGTAATTCTTACCAGACAGGGGAGTTACAATAAGAATTCACAATATTATATACTTATTTGGCAATAACTCTTGATAATGGAAAAACTCTGGTAATGGAACAACTCTTAATTCATCGTCTAGTTCTGTTGTGCTTAACGGAATACATTTTCTGGGTACCAAGAAGGTTACCTAAATCCCAGGCTAACCCAGACCCAAAACTTGTCCCGTTGTAACAAGGTACGCTACAATCAAAGGTTGTGAGTAGAGATTTAGTTACAGCGCTAATTAAATGTAACAAGCAATCGCAAAGGAAACAGCGGCACAGGGCGAGATAGGGCGCCGGCAGGGAGCAAGGGTAAACGATGCGAGCACGGTACGCACGATGGCCGAGGAGTAATCGATAGGGTGTCAGCGGTTGTGAACTGTGCGCACATTGTGCACTTGGGAAGCCGCACTGGCAGTCCCTCAACCTTGCTCACAACTCCCTAATAAATATAACACACACAATAACAGAGCAAAACATAGAGATCACTGTTTTACCTCCCGCCAATGCGGGGGTCATAAATCACAGTTCTCCAACTATGCTACGCGTAACTTTTCCATTTGCTTTGACCAATGCTGCAATACCGAATAGTCAGCCTTCTGGCAATCTTGAGGTTCATTCTATCTCCTGAAAGGATAACTAACAGTGGTTTTTTTGACACAAAGATATTTGGCAAGGCTTTAGTCGTTTCAAATTTTTCCCGGATAAGTCATTACTCAGGGATCTGAAAAGCTAGAACGCTGAAATCTTAGGAGGATGTTCCCCGTCCAATTGCTTTGTATGTGTATGTGTTGAGCAATTTGTAAATGCTGTTTATGGTTGTTTTTTCATTAGGTATACACGAGCTGTTGAATTTCCTGGAAGAATTGTTCTTACTGGGCCATTTCTTGAGGACAATGTTGGGCAAGTGGTAACAATTTCAACAGCTATTTTTGAAGGTATATTTCCAACATTCGATCGTATATTTTGTTCTTATGCAGTCGTATGCTGAGCTTGTAAACACTTGAAAAATTCCATTTTTTAATTTTTTGAAAGGTTTTTTTTAATGAAAGAATTTTATGAGAGGTTTTTTTTTTGCAGGGCATGCAGGAAGTATGCACAAT